ACAGACAGACAGACAGACAGACAGACAGACAGACAGACAGACAGACAGACAGACAAGCAGACAGGGGTAAAGAGAGTAAGAGGCACAGAGGCAAAGAGAAAGAAAGAGAGAGAGAGAGAGAGAGAGAAAGAGAGTGACAGAGATGAAGACCGACTGAGAGAGAGAAAAAAAGAGGGAGAGAAAAGTAAGAGGTCCTCTCGACAGAGGAAGGAATGTAGAAAAACAAGGGGTTTTATGTCATCATAGCCCAAAGGTCAGCCTCCCTTCCAACTTTACAGCCCCTCTCCTCCCCCTTAACATCCCCACCCCATCCCGCCCTGTTCTCCAGACAACTAATCCTCGCCCCAGCCAGGTCCACACGATGACGTCAGTGGTCAATATTTGCATGCTGTACGAGTAGACTACCGACCTGTAGTGTCCCCGTCACCCCTCACCCTCCCTCACCTCCTCCCGAAAGAAAGAAAATTATGTGTGATGATTGCACTACTCACGTAAGAGTAAAGTATACCCTCACCCCCTACCCCCAAACCCCCTACTTCTATTGTTTTTTTTGGTTTTGGCATATCCTTTCTTCCTCCTGTATAATTGTGCAGGCTACTCTTTTGTATTTCCTCTACTCTTTGGCACTTACAAGTTCTCATTATGTTGGAAGCAACTTAAAACGTTTACTAAAACTAAAACATGAATGTCTAACATGTGTCGAAGGAAGAGTAAAACAAAGAGTCGTCCTAGTCACCTTGACTTGTCGGACATCCCAAGGGCAATAGTTCTCCTCTCGAAAGTTTCTTGAAACTGCAGCTGCTCAGAAAGCGGCACCGCAGCGTGAACTAGTTTGTAATCTGCTTAGCTAGCTGCTTAAAGTGCTGCATACTGTTTTGTCTACTTCTTAGCGAGTTGCTTTCCTCACCGGGAAACGGAACGCAGCCCTGGACTCTGCTGTGTGATGTTTTGTTGAGAGAGACCTATGACCTCGGTCTGTCGTGTGAAATGTCAGACGAGGACCTTCTCCACTTGTGCACTTGTTGAGTTAGACTGTTTTTTTCTTTCTCTCTTCTTATCCCTCTCCCCCCCCCCTCTCTCTCTCTCGCTCGCTCTCTCTCTCTCTCTCTCTCTCTTTCTCTCTCTCTTTCTCTCTCTCTCTCGCTCTCTTTTATTCACCCTTTCTC